ACGGACGACCAAGTATGTATATGTGTCTGCATATATCGATGTTTGCGTTAGTACGATGAATGACAAAACGACGAAATTTACCCCACCACTTCCACAATAACACCAATACACGCAATCTACATGAACCCAAATTTTTTAAAACATTAATAAGTTTGTCTGACGATCGCTAAAGCGTGAAACCCAGGGTCACAAACTCACATCTATCCAACCAAATATATATATCAGTATCAGGGCTCAATGGCTTCTGCAGGTCATACAACCGGTCCTAACATTTTTTGCTAAACATTGTATACCTGTTTCGTTCACGTTTGTTGAACGCCTACAGGCCATACAGTCTTGACCTGATACTGATTTTATGTGTTCTTTTGATGTGTCCAGTCTATTTACCAACGTACCATTGAGGGAAACTATTGATATCTGTGCAGACTTTTTATACGAAGGTAACATTGCTCCACCTCCTTTTCCTAAGGATATATTTATAGAACTCATGATATTATGTACTAGTTCGGTGGAGTTCAGTTTTGACAATATTATGTATAGTCAAGTGGATGGGGTCCAGATGGGCAGTCCCTTTGGCCCTGCATTGGCTGATATTTTTGTGGGCTACCATGAGAGGTTACTTTTCGGCAAAGTGTCTAAACCGTTTGTTTACGTTAGATATGTCGATGACACTTTTGCAACATTCTCTAATGAAAGTGAGGCTGTTGAGTTCTTTAATGAGCTCAACTCCTTACACAATGGTTTGTCTTTCACTATGGAAGGGGAGAAGGACAACTGTCTGCCTTTTTTGGACGTTTTTGTTGAACGCAGTAGAGGTGGTTTTATTACTAGCATCTATCGTAAACCCACCTTTACGGGACTTTATTTGAATTGGCGTTCATTTGCTCCTACATCAAGGAAAATCAATCTTGTTAAAAGCTTGGTGTATAGAGCGCTTAAAATTTGTTCTCCTATTAGATTGGACCGTGAATTTGGGAACATTAGGGAGATTTTTCTTAGTAACGGCTATCCGGAGGCCCTTATTGACTATATCATTAGTAAGAAGACTAAGGAATTTCATTCCCCTAAAATCCAGGGGCCTTCTAAATGTCCGGTTTATTTGAAGATTCCCTGGATTGGGGATAGGGGTCAAGGCTTAATTAAGCAGGTTAGCAAGTCTGTTTCCGGTTGTTTCCCATCAGTTGCTTTACGTAGCATTTTTCGAACTAGGTCTGCGTTTCCGTCTTTTCACAAGGATGTATTGCCCTACATCAAACTGAGTAATTTAGTATATGAATTTAATTGCCAGTGAGCTGCTGGTTATGTGGGGCGTACAACCTTGCATTTGGAAACTAGAATCAATCAGCACGTACCTTCCAAAATACGACTTGGTAAGATAGATAGAATACGCTATCTTCCCCCCATGAATATGGAGTCGGCTATTGCTCAACATTTAGTTGAGAATATAGCTTGCGCCAAGTTGTTTAAAAAAGAGTGGTTTAAAATTATTCATACAGCCGATTCCAATAATCATTTGAAGATTTTGGAATCGGTCTGTATAGGATTAAGAAAACCTTCTCTCTGCCGGCAGAAAGAATTTATAAAGTCTCTGAATCTGTTGGGGATATTTTATTTTAACTGTCCCTCGCTAATTTATTTACACGATTCTTTTCCCTTCCCTCGTTACAAGTATATATACTTGTTTGTTATTTTAGTGTGTTTCCCCCTTTTTTTGCTCTTCAATATCGTTTATATTCTTTTCGCTAATCCAACGATTGTCTCCTGATGAGATGTTGGCTGAAAGGGCCCCTAGAGACTTTTAAAATTAAAATCAATGCATTCCTTGTTTTTAAAATATATATATATATATATATATATATATATATATATATATATATGTGTGTGTGTGTGTGTGTGTGTGTGTGTGTATGTGTGTGTGTGTGTGTTATTGAATAAATTATAGACATGCTAATTTTTAATAAAATCCGTTCATACTCACGTGTATTGATGTTAAAGGGTGAGAGAAATTTGCTATAGCTGTTTTAATTTTTATTTACCAAGTACTTTCGGTCTTTTTCCAAAATTATCTTCAGGGGCGAAAGAGGTACAAAACTATGTGTTGTTCATTAGTACAAGTATTTATACAAAGTTGTGCGTTGTTATCCATTACCGCAATTTTTTCATCATGCTTTTAAATGCAAAACGGTTGACAATATATTAAAAAGTTAAAGTAAACCGAAGCCACAAACATTTTTGGGTATAATGTGTATTTTTTTAAATATATATTATACTTTTTTCCACTTTTGTCTCGTTGGAACAACTATAACCTCTGCCTTATATATATATATATATATATATATATATATATATATATATATATATATATATATATATATATATATATATATATATATATATATATATATATATATATATATATATATATATATATATATATATATATATATATATATATATATATATTTATATATTTATATATATATATTAGAGGTAATCGATCCGTTGGTATATAATTCGGGTGGATCCTAGTAATATTAATTATTAAAACTGATCCACAGAGTGCTCGATGTTTTTTTTTTTTAACAAAGCATGTGTATTTTTTACAGAAAAAAATACCTTACCACATATATAGCCTATTTCAAGCGGTTCTGTATACGGCTATCATGATTCTCTAATTGTCAGTCTCGGAACATTATTTTAAATTTATTTTCAATGTCAGTCCTCCTCTCGTAGACGCCATGTTAATGAGAGTAGATTTGTGTTAGCGATTGGTGGGGGCGTAAGGTATCTTATCCCGGGGGAAGCGGTCTGGGGTTGGTTTATTATGGCCAAGACTTGTTTGTAATTTAATAACAGTTCCTACTATATACTGGCCAAGACTTGTCGCCTGTGGTTTAATATCAGTTCCTAGTATGTGGCGTTTCTTATAAAAAGTTTCGGAGTGTCTTTTTCTCTGATTCACAGTAAATTGTCTTGTCTTTTTTGTATTTTTTACTACAGGTGTCCAATATTATTAATCATATTAATAAGTGATTATGGATTTAAACTTAAGCCCGTTAAGATTAATGTAAATTAGTAGAGTTATAGATTTAGAGATTATCGTTAATATCTTACTGTTGGCTCTCACGCTGGCCAATAGAATCTTCCTTTTTATTTGTGGCATCCAACTATAGGCTCTCACTCTGGCCAGTAGAAAATGGCCGCAAGCTACATGAAAACTGACGTAGAAGCATGAAAAAATCGATTATTTTCACTATCCATGGGAATTGGGAAATGCAAAGTCTGTCTTGGCCTTTCCGCTAACTTGGAGCATGTGCATGTAAATTTTGGTGCAAATCTGTCGAAAATTGCGGCCGTGCATTCGTTACACACACACATGAACACACACACACACATCCTACCTTTGATATATATATATATATATATATATATATATATATATATATATATATATAAATGAAACAGTGTAAATGTTGTTGTTGAAATAAATATTTTATAATATGATTATTTTAATTTGTGAATAATTTATGTATTATTATCAAAATTGTTGTGAGAAACAGAGCGAAAGATCCAAGCGTTAGAGAACCCGTGCATGCAAGTTTGTGCGGAAAACGTTAAGTTTTGTGGGACACCAGGAAGCTTTTCTCGCCACTGTCAAATGCAGGAAAATGGTGTGGTTTGGACACATTTACAAGGCACGAGAACCTGTGATAAAGCATCATGCAAGGCTCCGTTGAAGGTTGATGTATGAGGGATTGCCAACATGAAAACTGGTCGGACAATGTCAAACAATGGACAGGTATAACTATAGCAGAATTACTAATGATTGCCGTTCGTAGACCGTTGTGGAATAGAGTATGGCTTCTGCATTCGGATCACCGCTACAATTACAAAAGTCAAGGGGATGATGATGATGAAAATGATGATGATGATGATATTAAATTATAGGTTTTGAAATTCAATTTGAATTTTTTAGCCGTCATGTAAGTTGATGCGTGAAAGGAGTATATCTTTTAGGAAAGGAGATATTTGAAAAAATAAAAAGACCGACAGTATGTTTCAATTCCCAATTGTCTATCTCCTCTGAATCTTGGCGTCAGTGTCAGTGTCCATATATATATATATATATATATATATATATATATATATATATATATATATATAAGTGGACAAATATAAAACAAAAGAGAACACTTTCTGGTTTCTGCTCGTCGGATCTGATAATGTAATGTAATTAGTTGCTGCTTAGATCCGCAAAAATCCCTTGCATTTTCCTTACACACAATTGTGTCTTTCATTCTGATCTGAAGAAGCTAAGAGCAAACTTTACGACTTTATGCCGTGATCTTCACATATACTGAACCGTCTAGGCATTCTATGCCTATTGAATTGTCTTTTGTAAATTACGAATGATTGGCCGCTGCCGATGCAAATACTACAGAAAATTACGGTCGAACATTCGAGAAACGTGTCATCATCCTGGTGAATAAAGTTAAAAATTTAGAAAGAATTTTAATACATGACAGAAAATACGATATCGAAATTAAAATTAGTTTCGTTTTTATTTACTTTTGATTTTCAGTTTATTTATCTGTCATCTTTTTTGTCTCTGCACCTGTTATTATACTTCTTCTGTTTCTCTATTTTCTATGATGAAGATGAATTCTCGGGCTTTCTTTAAATTGAGATCGGCCGAAAAACGATAATTTCTTTCAAAAATATGTATGATTTTACATTGCAATATTTTGAATACTCATTATCTCAGACACAAATACATACACACACACACACACACACACACACATATATATATATATGTGTGCGTGTGTGTGCGTGGGTGTGGGTGTATGTGTGTCCGTGTGTGTGTCTGTGCGCACGCGCGTACGTGTGTACGAAGATAATGTGAGAATGTGTAAAAATTATTAATAACACGTTTCGTCAGAGTGTCTGCTCTCTTTGTCATTCTCACGATAGTATGAAAGAAAGATGGAATCTCTGAGGCTGTCCATCTCTCTCTCTCTCTCTCTCTCTCTCTCTTTCTCTGTCTGTCTTTGTGTTCATATCTATCTATCTATCTATCTATCTATCTGTTATATACCTACATATGATCACTAATGGGTATGTCCCAATCCTCATAAATACATTGGGCATTATTTTACGTGGAGGTAATATGTTGTCTAAGTAGTCCAGCACTAGCAGCGGTTTACCTACTTCACGCCGCTGGCGAGTATTGTATTTTGCTGATGTTATAAAGATTACCAGTTCATTTTCAACCTCGGTTTTGTTTATTTGTCATTCAGTAACCCGTCTAGCTTACAACACTATCTATCTATCTATCTATCTATCTATCTATCTATCTATCTATCTATCTATCTATCTATCTTTGTTTTATGATCTACGTCCTTCATATCTATCTATCTATCTATCTATCTATCTATCTATCTATGTTTTATGATCTACGTCCTTCATATCTATCTATCTATCTATCTATCTATCTATCTATCTATGTTTTATGATCTACGTCCTTCATATCTATCTATCTATCTATCTATCTATCTATCTATCTATCTTATAGTGTTTATCTATCTATCTATCTATCTATCTATCTATCTATCTATCTATCTATCTATCTTTGTTTTATGATCTACGTCCTTCATATCTATCTATCTATCCATCTATCTATCTATCTATCTATCTATCTATCTATCTATCTATCTATCTTATAGTGTTCATATCTATCTATCTATCTATCTATCTATCTATCTATCTATCTATCTATCTATCTATCACAGTCTGTTCAGTCTGTTTCTAATTTTGAATGAAGCAACAAAGGTAACAATTGTATATTTGTGATAATGCTTTTTCCATTACCCATAAAGCCATACCGGTGTATTTCTTAGGGGAAGAATAGACAGGAAGCCGTGGAGAGACATGATCGCTGATATACAGAAGTAATGCATTACGTGTAAGTAAATTTTGGGTCATTTATATGATGAAAGACCACGTATCAAGTCCCGCCCTGAAAAATGTGATCAACAGGGGACAGAAAATTGCGCATGCTCAGAAGAGACATGGCGCATAAAGAAACACACACGTAGATAGATAGATAGATAGATAGATAGATAGATAGATAGATAGGGAGAGAGAAGAAAGAGAGAGAGAGAGAAAGCAAGAAAGGAAAACGTTTCTTCATAAATTTGAATGTTAAGTCCTTCAGAATTGTGGACTTACCCAGAAGAGATAAGGAAAAAATAGAGGCCATGATTAAGATCACTCAAGACAATTAACGTCTCCCACTTTTTTACGGACATCTCTTTTGGAGGAGTTTTATTCTTTTTATTTGACATCCCAAAATCGATAATCGTTATTCGCGTACTACTTTTAGTATGCTAATTCTCAGGTCATGTACAACAGAACAATACAATTAGGACATAAAACTCAGAGATATACGATTATCATCAACTTTTTTTGTGGATGTTAATTTGCATTCACGCATACAGACAGCCTCTTTCAATATATTCATATAAACCATGGATATTTTATCTATTAGTTTCTCACACGATTCACACACTCACACACCGATATATATATATATATATATATATATATATATATATATATATATATATATATATATATTGCTGTTACAATTTAGATAATTTTGCTGTTAAATCTGGTATATATATATATATATATATATATATATATATATATATATATATATATATACACAGGTTTAACAGCAAAATTGTGTAACAGCAAAATTGTGCGTGCAATTGTTAGATTAAGATTTGAAGCGTTCCATCTTAGAAATGATCAAAGATATCTTACTGGAATTCTCCGAGGTTTTTATATTACTATTAGACTCTACTTTGAACAATAAGTATGTACTTAGCTTTATGTTGAAAAGATGATACCTTTTGCTGTTGTGATCTCCCGAACCAGCGATCCATTTTTGTCTCTTCTGTTCCCTCTTTTTAAAATTTATTCACCGTTCCTTTCTTGAATGGACTTCGAAGATTAAGCGAGAGTATAAATATCGGTACATTTATTGAAGGCTTGGATGATCTTTTTCCTCTCACCATTGCTCAGTTGAGAAAATAGTGGGGCTGATGCGAAAGGATTTTAACCTATTCTCTTTCTAGCTGAATAACTCAAAGGACATTTCAGTGATTCTTACGACATGGCTAAACGTCTTATCTGAAAACCTGGAAAAAAGAAACTCAATTAGTTTTTTTGTAGATATTAAACATTCTTTGGGATGGAATATCCATCTTATGCTGTTACACGATTTGGAAAATTTTGCTGTTACTCCCGGTATATGTATGGATAGATAGATAGATAGATAGATAGATAGATAGATAGATAGATAGATAGATACAGTATAGTGTATAGTTTTCCTAGGGTGACACAAACTAAGTCGAAATAAAGTGGGTGCGATGGATAAATGGTCGCTATGTTAATTTTTTTTCGCCTGTATAGTAGGGTCAGTTGTGCATCTGCCGTTAAAAAAAGAGAACCATAACGCAATTTACACAGAATGTTGGAAACAGTATGCCTCACTGCTTGACCTTTGCGCCGGAAGATCCAATACAGATATTTCAGAGTGTTTGGGTGTAAATCTGAGGACGTTGCAGAGAATCCGGAAAGTGTTGGATGAGTCTAATAGTGATTACGAATGTGTTTGGAGTGATTACAACTGATGACGACGTTATCCTTCCATTCATTTTCCGACAGGGCTTCAGACTCAGTGCAGAAGCCTACCACAATTGCCTTGAAGAGGTACTGCTGCCGTAAATTAAGAGAGTGGGTGCTAGAAGACACTATGTTTGGCAGCATGACTCTGCACCATAACACACAAGAACCAGTTCATGAGTGTCAGATGATTTCTGCGACCACATTACACCTCACATCTGGCCAACTAATCCACAGGCAGCAAAAACCTTGATTATTATATGTTGGGTACTGTTGATCAAAAGACCGACAAAACTCCTTGTAAAAGAAAAATGTGAACTGAAGGAAAGGATTATGGCAGAGTCCAGAAGAGTTGCAAGATCTCCCGAAGTCGTCTGGAGGCCGAGATTGAAGCCAATGGCGATTTTATTGAATAGATTTACTCTTTAGTATTTCAAGAGATTTTTTATGTAATTTTAGTAAATATAACTGTTAAAATGAGATGTAAGTGTTACATTCGTTTGAGCGTCATTTAGACGACAATTCATCCATCGCACCCTGTATATCTGCTAAAATGAGATGCCAGTGATGTTCATTCTTGCGTCATTTAGACGACAATTTATCCATCGCAACCTCTATATCTGCTAAAATGAGATACCAATGTTATTTTCATTTTGGCATCATTTAAACGACAATTTATCCATTGCACCCTATCTATCTGTTAAAATGAGATGCCAGTGTTATTTTCATTTGGGTGTCATTTAGACGACAATTTATCCATCGCATCCTGTCTATCTGTTAAAATGAGATGCCAGTGTTATTTTCAATTTGGCGTCATTTAGACGACAATTTATCCATCGCACCCTGTCTATCTGTTAAAATGAGATGCCAGTGTTATTTTCATTTTTGCGTCATTCAGACGACAATTTATCTATCACACCTTGTATATAGATCCAAAGAGTATGCTTCCCGGATCACTACAATCTTTGCTTGTTTAAGTCTAGGATCAGCTGTTAACATTGCTACTTTTCTTTTTATGTGTTATGCCTTTCAGGACGTAAACGATCATGGCTCTCCACCCCCCTCTATCTCTTGCAGATCTCAGCAAGTTCCTTTCCTCTGCTTCCTTCCCCAGCCCACGTTCTGTCATTCACCTGCTCAAGCTCGTCAGCTATGTCATGCGCAGCTTTCCCTTGTCTCTTTTTCCTTCTATTCGACCCGTGAGTATCAGATTCTCCAGGCCATCCTTCCTCATTATGTGTCCCAAAAACTTCAGCTGCCTCTTCCTGATGTTAGGTATAAGCCTTCTCCTTGTTTGCATCCTCTCTAAGACATCGTTGCTCACACGCTCGATCAGTGATATCCTTATCATCCTTCTGTAGAACCACATCTCCGTCGCCTCGAGTCTTCATCATTGAGGAAATCGTCCAACATTCGCTGCCGTAGTAAAGAACAGATGCCACGTAACAGCTGAGTATTCTTTTCTTTGTTACCAAAGAAATCTTCCTGTCTTGCAATACTCTGCTCGGCTTTTGGAATGTGTCCTTGGCCATCCCAATACGTCTATGGATCTCAGTGTCGCACTTACCGTCCTCTGTCAAAATTCTTCCCAGATATTTAAACTTCGCGTCTGCTTGATTCTAGTGATTCCGACCTGCCAATCGCATTTCGGGCTCATCCTTTTACTGATATCCATGCATTCTGTCTTTTTGTAGTTTATACTTAGTCCTTTCTTCTCGCTTTCCTTCGCTACCTTCTGTAGGAGATTTGTTAAAATTCTTTTCCTTGTCTGCTATCATTACTGTATCATCTGCGTATCTTATATTGTTAAGGCATCCTTTACCACATAACCTCGTAAAATGTCCCTCTTACTCTGTAACCTTGTACCTCGAGTGTCTCCTGAGCTTTGTACATTTGAACATCATTGCAAAAAAATCAACAAAAAAACAAAACAAAAACAAACATTATTGTAGAATTAAGGAAAATTGAACAGTAGATGGCAAATGCAGATCCACTAGGGTAGTATAATAGGAAAGCATTACTCCTAAAGAAAGTACGAAAAACCATAAGATTTATATCGGCATTTTTGCAGGAGAATTTAAAAAGAGTATCAGTACACATAGGCATTCATTCACCAATTCAAAACAGCTCTTTTGAAAAAAAAAGAAAATGGGAATTGAAGGAAAAGGGTCTGAATCCTCAATTAAATTGGAAAATTCTAGGTTTTGCGAACACCCAAAATAGTTTTAAGGATAGGTGCATGCTATGTTTAGAAGAAAAAATCAGGATAAAAAAATTTAAAGGTCAATGCAAACTATTAAATCAACGTAGAGAACTAATTACGAAATGTAGACATAGAAATAAATTCCAAATTACTTAAGAATACATAAGGTGGCGTATGTGTACGTATAGTGGCATATATGTATAAAAATGTAAATGTACATATATGTATGTAGGAAGTGTGTTGGACAGCATGATTTATTCCATTGGGTGCTATGGTATTACCCACAATCTATAAATCTATAACTCAACTAATTTACATTAATCTTAACGGGCTTAAGTTTAAATCCCCCATGACTTATTAATATTATTAATAATATTGGACTCCTGTTCTAAAAAAAACAAACAAAAAAAAACAACAAAACAATTTACTGTGAATCCCAGAAAAAGACACTCAGAAACTTTTATAAGAAACGCCACATACTAGGAACGGATATTAAACCACGGATATTAAACCACAAGCGACAAGTCTTGGTCACTTATTAAATTACAAACAACAAGTCCTGACCATAAATAAAATCCAATCCCAGACCGATTCGCCGGGATATGATACCTTACGCCCCCACCAATCGCTAACACAAATCCACTCTCATTAACAAGGCGTCTACGAAAGGAGGACTGACATTGAAAATAAATTTAAACCAATGTTTCGAGACAGACACTTTGAGACTGATGCTAGCCATATACAGAACGGCTTGGAATAGACTGTATTTATGTTGAGGTAATTTTTTTTTTGCTGTAAAAAATACACGTGCTCTGTTAAAATAAAAACATCAAACTCTCTTTAGATTAGTTGTAATAATTAATATTTCAAGCATCCACCCGGATTATATACCAACGGATCGAGTACTTGAACTA